CAAGAACTGCTTGGTATATAGAATATTAGGTGCGTAAACGAAATGATCGATGGAACTTTTTCCATTCCGTCTATCTCTTTCGTTTGAGTATTAGCGACTACGTTGCGTTTAGTTGAAGTTATTTTGTATTAATAGCATTAATTCGTATTAATTAGAATATTAAGATAATATTAGTTCTAAGCTGAAGAACGAAAAACGAGGGAACTTAGTTTTTTATAGGTATAGGCTCAAGAAAGAAATCATCCGCCGAGGGATTTTAGTACCGATAGTATTACATAGTTAAGATTTAAGTTATTTATAAGGTTGATTGTGAAAGGTGGGTGGATGTAGAACTTGTGATTCCATCTATTTGCCTTGAGCCTCCACTCGCAGCAACCTCCTCGTGGTGAGGCCTGGGCAATCGGTATTATCATCGATAAAGTACTGTAAACTGAAGGTAATACCAAGCTAATGGCTGCGAACTTAAAATTAATTTCTCTAGTTAGAAGAATAAATGTAAGACCGAATATTTTTGGTAAATGTTCTATCGTACATGAAACTTAGATTATTTTAAGACTAAATGTAAGAGTAGAAAATCTTTGTTAATTATATGAATACGTGAAGCTGAATAATAAAGTGCAAGAAGTCACGTATATATTCGACTTTTTTAATAAATTCATACCTTACAATTGAAATAAAGCTGAAGTAATATCCTGTAGAAGGTTGGCTAGTAGAGCTCTTGTTGGGTCTAATTTTATTATTTACTTACTCGCAATAAATAAAATTATTGTAAATAAATGATGTGTGAATAAAGTTATATATAAAGATTCACCAATTGTCAAAAGGTCAAAGGATTGTGCGTATTAGGATTCCTATATGAAGTTGTACAATTGTATACAGATTGAGTTTTTTTATTATTTCATATAGGTATGTAATATTTATAGGAATAATCATTTGAAACTCTATTATTGGTTTAGCATACTTTATTTGCGCTACAAAACATGGCGACCGATCATTAAACATGTTGAATAGTGGGAAGGTGAGCGGTAGTGTTCAGAGCATATACATATGTAGACGGAGCATGAACTGAGCGGCGGAGTAAGATTCGCGGTAAGGGGGTGGTTAGTTATAAATCGGGTAACTTCGTTCCTTTTCGGTGCTATTCGGGTATACAATCGCATTACATGCATGTATGCTATGAGAGATGAAAAGAATATACTTATTATACGTTAAAAATTCCGTATGTCATATAGTTTGTATAGATATATGTATTTAACAAAATTAATAAATAATATAAAGCATTAAATAATATTACGGCGCACAGCCCACCAGCCATTAATAACGAACCGAATCGAGCCGAATGCATTCGAAGCTAACCGACGTATATCTAACGACCGCTGTCTTTTCCCTTCCAATCCTACGGTCCCTCGCACAAAGTGATAGCTTATGCTCCGTCTATATATCTATGGTTCAGAGTTAAATCTAGTAAAATCACTCAACGGTTGCGCAATGGTTAACGGTTGTGTCTTCTGAACGCAGCCATTAAGTTGTTTACGTTAGCGTATAGGGAGTTTCTTTATCAAAAGCTGACAGCAGCTGACAGCAGATAGAAACAGCAGTATGGCCAAGTATGGCGGGAATTGTGCATTAATTTTTAATATGTTTTTACTACGTCTTGTTTATAATTAATTGTCTTTATGTAACAGTGCTATAAACAATGTGAAATCTTTTCGTTTTGTTTCTAATCGTGTGTGTTCGTACTTATTTAACTTCTCGTTTGACTGTAGTATTTGTTACTAATTCGTTCAATTGTTACGTGTCATATGAGGTTACCCTGTGTAAAGTTAATAATTTTCCAAAGAAAACGTAAATAATAGAGTGTCGTGTCCGAATTGCGTCGTTTAATTAATTCCCATTCACCATGGATATTCCACCGACGCAAGTATACGAAGCTGATGATTTTACACCGACACAGAAACTATCTCAATCCATGCCACATAAAGTCAGAGAAAAAGAACTACAAGTAATAATAAATTATATATATCTATTATACTTGTTACAGTAATTTCCTACATTTTTGAGTAGCTGTCAATATTTATAAAATCATGTCTTTCAATTCTAATGCTTTTATTAATTAAATTAATTTTATGCTACTTCTGTAACTGCTATAAATTTTGTTCTATTGTTCTATTTTAATACAAGTTTGTTGCACTAAATACAAAAATTGTATTAATGTATTAATTATACAACATAAAATGTTACATTATTTTCATATTTAAACAATTTTAGATCGGAATATTGACTGTTGGTTGTAATGTGTACCCAATTAAGGAGGGAATTAACAAAATTGGTAGACATCCGGAATGTAATATCATACTGAATGATCAGGTAAGTTCCTTAATTTTTGTTATTTTCTTAACCTATTACAACGAATTATGTATTGGTATGTCACAACCTTACTGAATATTTTCACAAACAACATAATGGTATGTGAAAGTTTTATTGGCACTTTACAACATATCGCACACTATAAAATAAAGACTATAGTATATAATTTAATAAAAGCATTCTATTTTCTTAATATTACATTTTTAATCAATATATTTTCTCAAGAGCCTCAGTAAAGACTTACAATCAGACCACATGTGAAGCGAACACAATATGTAACTTGAGCCATGACAGAGTATTTAGACATGTTAGATTGTTTTAATATGTGGTATTTGAGCCCATCCTGTGTCAATGTATGTGATTACTGCCATTGGAAATAAGTAAATAGATGAACATTTTACTATCAGCTTATGTATCACAGTTTGATAATTCTTTTGACTTCCATTAACTTCATATTATTTCATTTTATTTAACACATATGAGAGTTGCTTACAATAAAAATAATTCAAATACACAATTTTATGACAATATCAAACTTTATTTTTTATAGTTTATTAATGTAATTATAGATGTACAAGAGAAATTTATAGTTCTTCTTTTAGATGTTGTCCATTGGATGCACTACTTAATTTGTTTTCATTAAAATCAATTGTATTCCAAAAGTCCTTCTGTCCTAAGTTAGGATTACTGTCCATGTAAATTTTGTCTGGTGCAGCAATGTGCAAATACTGAAGTGTCTTTTCATCAGGATTTAGTCTAGGCCAGTTCACGCCACCCATATTTGGGACTCTACATGATAAACAAATATAGGTATAACAAAATAGTTCCTATAAATTGTTATAACATATAGTTACATGTATTTACTCACCCATTGGTTGCAAATGATACCCACATATCAACCAAAAGTTGTTGCATTTTAAGATCATTTTGTGTTGTTGTGGAGTCCATAAAAGGAGTATCAAGAACCGCATATGCATCATCACCGTGGCTCACACCTACAAATAAAATATTCAATACATTTCACCAATTCCTTTCCTCAAAATTATTCCCATATAAATAACATACCGTAATTATTTTGAGTTTTACTCATACAATCACTCAAACTATTTGCAGCTCTGTAGGAATAATAATAATACCACACAGGTTGTGTATTTACTTTAGCCTGCATTCTAGCAGCTGTTTGACTGTCTACAGTGAAAAATCTATCTCCAGCCATCTGTACTAAGGGTTTTGTTGTTGTCTCATCTATTTTTTTTGTTCCAATATAATGTTGTTTGATGAGTCTGGCTACTTCGACGTGCTTTTCTTTAGGCAAAGTGTAATTATAATCAAGGAAATGAGGAGCAAGAAGATCCCAGTTTTCATCTAATCTTTTTAAGGCCTCTGGTATAGCAATAAACTCTATAAACAAGATAATTTTAGAGAAAATTTAAAATAATAATTACACAGGTTCGTTACTATTCATTTGTACCTGCAACTGGATACAATCCTTCTTCACTGGTCACACTAGTGATCCAAGGAACATCCTGAACACCACCACTGTTTACAATTTCAACAGGGGCACGGTCAATAAATGGTTGATCTCCAAGTTTTTCAGGAACTGGTCCAAATGGAGTGAATGGATTATAATAGAACCGCTAGAATCAAATTAATATATTTATATAATTATTACCAGACTCATGTGCAAAATAGAAAGCACATACCATAAATTCATGGGCAGAATCAACCAAAGGCCTAGATGGACGATACCTCAAACAGCGTACCATTTCCTTCCTGTTAATTGTAGAACAACCCATGAGAGCAGCTACTTGCTTAGCTTTCTCTAAGGGATTTTCTGTCTGTGTCCAACAGTCAAAAGCTGTGCCACTGACTGAAATACCACCTGTAATATAGTGCAGAAAAATTTATTAATAACAAAGCTGATTTTCAGAAAGATTTAAAAGGCTCAATGATTATAGATTATATAACATATCAATATTAATTTAGTTTTTGTTGGTACCTTGGAAAAGTCCAGCACTCATGGGAGATAAGTAGTGATAATGTACACTTGCTCCACCAGCACTTAAACCAACCAAAGTTACCTTGTTGGGATCACCACCAAACCATTCAATATTTTCTGAAACCCATCGTAGGGCCATGCTCTGATCCTTTAATCCCATGTTGCCAGGAATTAGTTCATCTTCTGTACTGAGGAAACCTAATGGGAAAATCCATCTCCATATCAAAGAAAGCTATTGCTTAAAAGTTTCATGATGCAATACATTATAATTAGTACTTTCAAGTACCTAGTATGCCCAGTCGGTAATTAGATGTGACTAAAATAACATCATGGTCCATGAGATATTTAGCACCCATGTCCATTCCACTACCAAACATAAAGGCACCACCATGAATCCAAAAAAGGACTGGCATTGGCTTGGTGACCATTTTTTCGTGCACTGGCACGTATACATTTAGATATAAACAGTCTTCAGAACCTATCACAGTTTCATTTACATGTGAGGGCAATTGAGTGTATTGCAGGCATGGGGAGCCAAACATTTTCGCTGAAATTTCGCCAATCCATGGTGGTAACCGCTGAGGGGGCTAAAAATAACATTAATATATAAATAATACATTTTTACAGACCTTTCGATAAAGCTTTAGATAAGAGTTAACAAAGGAATGTTCAATATTCAACCCTGGGTTATAGGTTGAGGTTTCCTCACCGAAGAATAGTACACAGGTAACAGACAATAAATCGAGAAACTTTGAATTTATTGCTAAAAGTGCTAAAAATTAATCTGTCTGCCTTTTTTAAAACAATTACATAAATAAATTAATGCAACGTTTTTATCAACATAATTATTTTTAGTATTGAAAAGAATTTATTTTCGTAGTCGTTTACGATTAACATTGTCGTCTGTTGAAGTCTGTCTTAGTTTGAAGAATGCTGAAGTAAATAAACGTAATAAAAAGTAAAAAACATTTTATCACCATCAGATGCACGCCTTAAAACCATGTATATCCTATTTAGTCATTTCTTCTTACTTTCAATAGTAGCGGAAATAATTTAGGTGCTCGAATTAAAATTAACACCCTATACACTTCGTGTTATTCACGTATAAGCATGATGTATCAATATTCAGTAAACATCCATCCTAAACTCGCTAAGGTTCATGAGTTATCACTTGTTTTATGCGATTACGCTTAATTGACACATTTAGATACATGAATAATCAATTTTGTTATCGTTCGACGAATATTCCATATAATTCAATAGGATAGGATATGTATATAAATAGTGCTATTTCTCTAGGTTTATCATTTTTCTTAAATGCAAGAACATACGAAAGAAGTGTAGTTACACTTTGATTCCTTGCAACATTATGTTTATAAATATATCAAGATACGGTATCTGAGAGATGAATAATTTACGACATATTTAACTATTTTCTTATATACAATCTTACAATTAGTGAAAAGAAAAGTTTAAAGGTCTCGTTAATTATTAATTTTTATATATTTTATTTTCATACTTTTACGTGCATAATGCACAGACGAATCAATTTATGTAGAAAAAAGATCATTTCGTTAAAAATTATAAAAGTACAATTGCAAATTATTGAATAATGAAGTCTTAGGAAAGTAAACATTATGATACCATTCAATTGTCCTCTCTATTATTTTTGAATATTGTTAAATATACAAGGGATATATCTCGTGCCAATGATGCAATTTATTTGAAAGAATATCTACACATTCATCGAAATGCTATTTACATACATCAAATCATGTTAATCCTAGAAAGTCTAAGATTTGTCACACTAGAAAAGCAATTCAAGAAATTGTAAAGATTTTTCAATTGTAACAATGATACTAACATTCGAACTGTTTATACATATTTATATTTTCATAGTTTGTTTTACAATACCAGGACTAAAGAAAAATCTACTTTAATAACAAATTCACCAATTAAAACATACTTGATTTTCGTTCAAGTTCTTGCTTCACTGTGCGTTAAAACAGAATAGGAAATTTCTACTTCGAAAATTATAATATCTGCTTTGTTGGAAAACGAGAAACTTGTTTCGATTCCACATGTTTATTAAATAACTTGGTTATTTCGCGACTCTTCTGTCTGGATATTATAAGGGTTGAATAACTATTGCAGCCTTAGATCGATGAAATACAATGCTTGTCTTACCTTGAATCGAAGTTTTCCGACCGGGGGCACCGCGTACGGGATTCCCTCGTAAGCTTCGTATTGTCTTCCGTTGCCAGAAAGCTTGTGGTATCCCTTGATACCGCCCAAAGGTGTTCTAACCCTCGGCGCGTTTTCGAAACTCCACGCGAGGGTAAGGTGTCCAAGAAGGAGCAGAAGAAGCCATGGTCCCGTCATCTTCGACGGAATGAAGTCGACTCGGGGCTGTCTGCTTTATTTATTGCGAACCTTTCTGATCGTTACCCACTGCTAACGTTGAATTAGATAAGTACAACGGCAACCGAGTGTGGTACGCTCGAGCTTGAAAATACAATCGTCCGTATAAAATCAGCCGATTACACTCCCTACTCCTATTTTCTCCGGAATTATCATTGTAACACAACGTATCAACTTGTGAGCTTCACTCTGTAGAGTTATGCTTCGTATACACAGAAGACTTATTCTTGAGAGTGGTTCTATCTCTCTGCTTACGCTACGTACACACATTAATGTAATTCTTGAGAGTAGCTCTGGCGCCTGTGTCCAGTTGAGAGTAGATTCTTGCAAATTACACTCATGAGAATGGAAATGATGCTTACATCTATAAATGTAAGCTGTTAGAGTGTTGCCCTTTGATCTCAATCCACTAGTGCGCTTCTACTATTAAGAGTGTAACTTATAAGTGTCCACTCTTAAGTGGATACAAATATAGAAGTAAATTTCCGACGTCTTTATCATTTCTACTATCGAGAAAACAACTTTGCAGAGTTATTCTCAAGTGGATAGTATAAAATAACTTGCAGGACTATCTCAAGTGGACATTAGAATATAACTCGTAAACTCTTACAAGTTATATTCTCGAATAACAGCTATTAGCAAATTGATTTCTGTGTCTTCTAAACTAGTTCGGCTCCCAAGAGCGACTTTTTAGGATCATTTTTGACGTAAGACATGTCTCTTTGAAAAAAGTGTCCCAAGCTTCATCAAATTGATATAGGACTGTGTCGTGTCCCTACACTATTTACATGTATACTGAAGTTGTAAACTCAACAGAGCTATAAACAGAGATTTACTTGAGATTCGGATCCAGTAATTACCAAAAAATGTCCACGACAGTAAGGAACTGGTACCTAGTCTTGTCCAGGTTTGTGCAGAATTCTTCAAATTTTGATATTAATTAAGGGCATTCTGAGACCCACAAAAAATGCTTTTGTTTATAGCTCTATTGTGTTTATTATTTGACTACATTATTACCACACAACCTAACGTTAAAAAAAGAATTAAAGAAATAAAAATTGAAAACTTTCAGCAATTCACGAAAGAAAAACACTCGAGTTGATACGTTGCATTACACTCACATACGTACGTAGTAGCATAAGGAGTTACGAATAGGTTGAAACGTGTCATAACGTGGAATTGTCTTTCTATGTACATGTACAAATAAAACGAAGCATCTACAGTGATTGCATTTTTTTACTTTAATAGTCGAGACGATAAGATAAATGGTTTCGGGTCAACTACAGTTTACGGAGTTCAACTTCTATTGGCGGCTTTTATAAATCGATGAAGGAGCACCTGAGCGTTTAACCTTAGTGTAGCGTGAAGTTAGTTTTCCTTAATATCAAATATAAAGTTCAAATTGTGCTACTTCTACGACTGCATCATTAATAGACTTTATGTAAATACATATTTGTGTATACTGATTTATAAAGACAGTTGTTAAAAAGAAACTTATTTTCTCTATTAAGATTTTACCAGATTAGAAATAAAGTGAAGACTTTATAAAACTTTATTGAAATTGTTACTTTTTACATGATTCAATGTGTTAGAAATGAATAAAATTCGTATAATAGTTAACAAAAGTACCTACAACCTTTCATTCGTTTTATTATTCTACTTACGTTTATTGAAATTTTTTAACATTGAGATCAACAGAAATTCGATATTTTATAGTGTATTAGAACTTCTATGGAGGATAGTGAAATTTTCTGGGATCGCAACTATTTCTATTAACACCACAGAGTCGTTCTAAGGTTGTATAAATCGCGATCAGTTAATAGAGAGCTGGTGTAGGTTCAAAGATCGGATGATGATAAGAACTGGATTATAGCAATTTGGAGTGATCGTGCTCGTTGCTGCGTCACTGACATACGGGTCATTCCACGCGTAATCAGACACTTTTTGGACCACCATTTCGGATTTTGATTAAATTTGGATATGTAGTAGTCTTTAGCGATATATAAACATATCTCAACGAATTGTTGATTTTACAGCTGTTTGAAATTTAGGATCTACCTTTTTCAATAAATCATAAGTATTGAACTAAGAAACTGATCAAAATGAGCTTCGCGGGTACTTACAGTGAAGATATAACAGTACCTAATCAAAATTATTTCAGTTAGAAGAAAATATTTTTGTTTTTAACCATTTATTTTGCAATTGTTTAAAAGAAATGCAATTTTATAATAGCAAAAATTGAAGATATAGTCCTATTTGTCCTCTTTATGGAAAAATATTCGAAAATATGGAGACTTCACCATCTGTTGCCATCTGTAACCAAAGTTCTGATCCGATTGATGGATCGACCGAACTGCGACAAGATCCTGCGTGCCGATTGGCTCACGTGGAAGTAGCGTTTCCAGGAAAAGCCCGCCTCCAGAAGCCCGCGCCGCTACTTTAACGCGAGTCTACTGAACCGCACGGCTTGAGCGAAATTAATTTTTATGCGGCCAATTTTAAAGTGTCCGTATTTTTGAAGATATGTCCATATAGAAGACAAATGGAGTTATGTCCTCATTTCTTTTCACATTTTTAAATAGTTCGCCGGTATAAAAACAGGGCGTTTATTTAAAACAATTGCAAAATAAGTGCTTAAAAAATATTTTTCTTTAATTGAAATAATTTTTATTTGTTAGTTCAATAGTTATCATTTATTGAAAAAAGGTTGACCCTAAATTTCAAGCAGCTCTAAAATCAACAATTTTCAATAATCTTTCGAGTTATGTTTGTATATCGCTAAAAACTATAGCATACACAAGGTGTCCGATTTCGTGTGGAATGACCCATAGTGACGTTAAATAGATTTGATCAGCTAGAAGGTTTCTCTTCATAAAGACAGAATGCATTGTTAAGTATTACAAAATATATGTATATATACAAATATTAAACATTTTTTTAAATAAAGTATTTATCATTATAGAATAGGTATACATTATCACAAAGTATTTAGCAAATTGATAACAGAACTTCAATTGTATGTGCTGCGAATTGGACATCTTAAAACCGATAAACACGAAATTTCTTTTTAGATTCCCCAACAAAAGTGTCACTTCTCTAGATGCCCCATGGCGTGGGCTGTTCTTTGGAATCACGTCATACTACCCGATTTGATTTTCAGATTCCTGATACAAAGCACAATACATACGCAGCGGAAACGTGCAAAATGTATCGCTTTCGCAGTCAGATATGAGACATGTGCGTCAATGAGTGGCAGCGAGCAACGACACACTTATCTCTATCTTTTCAATCTCTATTTATTTGCAGTTCTAACTTGTTTGTTTATTAAACAGAGCGATTAATTATAACTTAAGTACAAAAATGAGGGACACTGTAAAATTTACTGTTAGCTAAATTACAGACAGATATTTGAAAGAGTAAAATATTCAGATAAGTTTTACACATTATTGAATCATAAAATGTTTAAGTACCGAGATTAAGAATTATGATAAATGTAATAGCGTGATAATGGACAATCGTACGTGTATCTAATATTGTTGTATAGAGTAAACAAGAGTACGGTCGCAAACATCAATATCGAATAGAATCTTGCAGATAAAACATTAAAGGTTGAGTCGAGCCTTGAGAAAATCATAGGTCATATACCTATAGAATCATCTGTGTGATGCATAACTATTTGAAATTATTCAGTGGTTCGAAACTTGAGAGGTTTCGATTACTGGATAAAGTTACTTTGAATTTAGCTGTCATGATCATTAGAATTAGAGATCTACCGACTAAAGTGGCGGACTATTCGGCTACTTTTGTAGTCAGCGACTAGTCGGTCAAAAAGGCCGATTGATCGGCCTTGAATTTTTAATAGATATGTATTACTCATAACATACGGTATAGAAATGAGAATACAATGTTCTTTCTGTACTGTCATTAGAATAATTTTAATGTTTGGGTGAATTTCCGAAAATCACCAACACCCGATGACTCTGACCTTGACATATGTTATCAAGGTCACCCTCCCGAGTAATCTTCAAAACATTTGAAACACCGATCATTAGTTATTAAAAAATTATTAATAAAGAAAGATTGAAAAACGTACCGTAATTTTCCCAGAAATGTAAACTTTTGAAATGTTTCTCTAATCAGTATAATGCTTTAGAGTGTGGTTGGAGACAATCGAAGAAAAAGAGTCATTCAGAGTTGATTAGACACAGTTCAAGAAAAGTGATATTGATAACATATGTTAATATCAGGGTCATCGGGTGTGAGTGCTTTTAGGAAGATTATCCTAATATCTTTTAATACATAGTATACTTATACAGTATATGTATATATTTGTATGTAACATAATTATTACATAAACCATTAAAAGTAATAATTACTATTAATTGAAACCAACTTAATAAGTACCAATTAACCAGGAATTTTGGTCGTTATTTCTTAATTTTATCGTAACAAGAAACTCTTTAAAACAAAGAAACAGAACGTAATAAAATAAGTGTAATAAAGAATGTTAGACTGTGTAAAGAATTTTCTCTTTGGGTTTCTGATATTGAACAATCATAAATTTAAAATCCTGTTTTGAAATAAAGGTAACTGGAGCTGTATTAATTAAATTGTTTTATTTATCATACAAACGAAGTTATTGCCACGTTTTGTAGCAGTATTTGAAAGTAATCGACAAAGCCGACCAGTCGGCCAAAACCCTAGTCGGTACATCTCTAATCAAGATATTTTAATAATACGACGATAACGAATAATGAAAAAATTTATTTCGTTTGCAGACGGTATCTAAGAATCACGCAGAAATCGAGGCTAATAGCGATGAAACATCTGCGTGGATTTGCGACCTGCATTCTTCAAATAAAACAAAGCTCAACAATGTAATAAAGTTTTACTTCTACTTATTGTTAAATACAGCTTACAAGTAGATTCCCCTCGTTAACTCTTAAGTATTATAAGGTACGAAGAGATTAAAAATATTTTCTATCAGTTGTTAAAATTGTTAATTTATAGCAAATGCGAATGTGCACAGTACAGTAAAGGGTTCAGTAGTAATTGATGAAGTGAAAATTTCATTTTGAATGCGATAAAATCCTTAATAAAAGAAATATAATTTTGTTTCATTTTGGTTTTCCTGGAGTAACTATAAAAATAAGTTACATCAGCATTAAATGTTGGTGCTCGCATTCGTTGGGTTAAACTATTGTCAAATATTATGATGACTCCGCACATACTGGCAATACAAATCTACTTTTTCTATCAAATATCTATCAATTACAGTTTTAGTGCCGTTAAAGTCTCGCAGCTTTAACCTTTGATTGTAATAAACTGCGGCAGTGTATCCTTAAATGTGTACAGTTCAGATTCGTTTAACTTTTTTATTCAAACACCAATAAGTACGTATTAAATATTCATTAAACGAATTCAAGTTGTAAATAGACTCCGCAAAAGAATGAAAGGATTACATCTACGAATCCGAAAAATGGGGCCAAATTTCAAATGATCGTAACTCCGGCAAAAATTGTCGTATCGATATCGTTAAAAGCTTTTGAAAGTGTGGAATATCTACTTTCAGATGCTTTTTCAAGATTTAAGCAGCGATGCTTCTTGGCAGTTATAACGATATGAACAGTATCGTCGGCATTGACATGACCCAAGCCATACCGGGTGAAGGTAATTTCCTCCGCTTGGAAATGACCTCAAGGTCATGATGTTGCGGTCATCCTTTACCGAGATAAAGCGAATTAAGAAAAAAATTGAACTTGTGCAATTTTTAAACCCATATTCGGAAGGACCTGGTACGTCGAAATATTAATCAAATCGAAAAAGCAGAAGGTGCGCCTTCAAGAGGAAAGATTGATCTCTCTATTGCTTCTTTGGTGAACGTTCTACAGTGATTCATTCGATTCCTGAAAGCAATTAAAGTCAACAGAGCGATTTTTGCTTCAAAGTTGAGTAACTCGGCCAAAAAAAAATCGGACAAGCTGGTATAAATATAACTTGCCTACAAACTTTTATTCATCCCATATAATATTGTAAAGTAGAACAAAATTTTAAAAAAGGTTTCCAGGTGCACTTTATATCGCAATAACTTTGCCAAGAAGCAACGCACCTTATATCTGGAAAAAGCATCTGAAAGTAGGGATTTCACATTTTTAATCGACTTTGTAATGATATCAATACGACCATTTTTGTCGGAGGTACGACCACTTGAACATGGCTCAATTTTTCAGGTTTGTAGGGGCGATCTCTTAATTCTTTTGCGGAGTGTACTTGACGAGACCCTCCTGAAATTTAAATCCATTTGCACCTTCGGTTAAAGTACAGTACTACTTTTTCATCTACAGTCAATTATGAGGCCTGGTCGATGCTACGAACTCAAAGATGGAAGTGTCATCCAGTTCGGTATGGTGTGCGCTGTGTACAAAGTCAACTGTTCAATGGATGAATCCCTGATCCTAGAAACTCCGGCATCATGTCGCCTGAAGAAGCAACAAATGGTCATTCCGGGAACACCAGACTCGTCTATGGTAATTATCATGCCTATGTGTCAGTGAAAATATCTTTCTAAATTATTAATTCTTCCATGCAGAACAATTCGTCCACAATGGAAAACATTTCTATAATCCCTGGGACTCAAGCCGACAATGGAGATTCCGTATTTCGACGACCATCCTTATCTAACAGGAGGTCTACTAGCAACCGGAAGAGTTTCATCCAAGACTTCTCCATCGACGACAGCATGAATGATTCTCGAAACGTCTCCGTGCAGGGAAAAGAACACGTGGACGAACGGAGGGTCAGTATTCACGATATGGAAACGCTGAAGTCGTCCGAATCGCAGGACGAAACCAATGTCGACATCCACGATGTTGAAACTCAAAAGATCTCCTTAAGTAGCTTTAGAGCTGGTAATGTCACTAATATTCATGATGTGGAGACACAACACGAGGAGGACAAAGAAATTGAAGGCAATGTCACTAATATTCATGATGTAGAAACGCAACACGATATAGATATTCATGATATGAAGACACCAAAAACAATTGGGGTTCATAATGTTTTAGCTAAAGACGGTCGTGAAAGCATCGAAGATGTAGAAAAGCGTAAAATAGAGGGGCTAGAGTTAAAAAATAATATTCCTAATACGGAAACAAGAAAAATTGATATTAAAGAGAATAAATATTGTACTGACGAGAATGTTGGGACTAAGAAAATGTTAGCTACAAAAGCTAAAGATTTCGCGCATGCTGAACAGGCAGAGATTGTCCAACCAAATTCGCAAGAATATTTTCAATTATCTCTGACTACGAATTTTGATGGCGAGTGCTCAGAACTCGATAGAAGTCGTAATCTTCTCGGATCGCAAAATTTATTAGAGAACTTTATTGGAGATGATAATCCAGAGAACGAGTCAAGATCGAAATCATCGACACCTGTGAAATCCCCGACTCTAAACAACAATGAAACAACCAACAGAAGCAGTGACGATGAGAACATATTTGATGCAGTAACACAGGTGAAAGTCACGGAGGAAAACATTTCCAAGACTGTAACACAGCAAGTTAACGCGTTTGAAGCTTCTTCGATGGACGACGATTCTGATGAAACTGATCAAGAGGGCGTGTTTCAAACATACTCGCGAATTGCTAGTCAGGATAGCAGTCAAAATAGAAATCATTCGCAAAGTAAATCTGACAGCGATAGTTCTGATACGGATGAAGAAGGACGTTTTACAGAGATGGCTTTAAAAGAAAAACGAACAGCGTCTTTATCCTTTGAAACTCGACAGAATGAAAGTAAACTAACTAAGAACGATACTGGATCAAGCCGAGATTCTGATGACATGTTTAATACACTCACGCAACAAGTGAATGTGAAGAAAGAGGGTTCTTCAAAGATACAGAGTGAAATCAGTAAATGTGATGTAGATTTTGATACACCAACTCAAGTAATCGAAGTGAACAAACCTGAAAATAATATAAGACTAGAGGAAGACACAAAGAAGAAGGATATAGATTATTTAGCAGCAACACAAGTTCTACCAAGCAGTGAAACTTCCATAACTGTAGCAAAACATAAGACTCCATACAGTGAAGAAAAGAACGATAATGAAATAGAGTACAACACGCCTACCCAAATAATTACAGAGAATGTTTTAATCTCTAATAATCCATCACTTAGTAATTCTGATCAGTTAAATCCAAATGTAGTAGAGGAGTGCAGCATTGAGGACATTGATTATGAAATGGCCCCTACTCAGTTGCTTCGTGACTGTGAAGAAAAAATATCTGTATCAATTCCTGGTAGTAACAAGATATCAAAGAAATCTAACAAAGTGAATTTAAATGATACTTTAGAAAAAAATCTGAATAAAATGTTTGATAGTGTCAATGACGAGGACATGGAAGATCAACCACAGATATCGACTCAGGTCCTTACAAGTATATTACAAGCATCACAGAGTGATGATAAACCGACAAGCTTTAAAGAATCACAAGAAAGTAGTAAAACAGACAAATCTGTCACAGGGGAAAAAGGTGAAGAACCCGTTGCTGAGTCAGTTTCACCTTCATTATCAACTACAAAGCTACGTGATTCTAAGTTGCCGAATAGAACTACTCAAGACTCACAAAATTATTTTTCCAATCTTGTGTCAAAAAGAAAACGTAATATTATAGTAGATTCGCCAAATCGTGTTACACTTGGTGAAGATACATCTGATAATAAAAAAGGAATTGCAGGAAAATCAGTAGACGATAGCATCACAAACGAGAAAGATAATACTTCTGATACGTTATTGAGCTCTACACCCAAAAGTTTATTGACCCCAAGATCCTCAAAAAGAAATAAAACTAAAAAGTCAAACGAATCTAAAATAGATCTGGGAAGGACAAGCATATCAAATAGTAACGAAAATGTTTCGGAAGTATCTAACAAAGATGATCAAGTATCTGTTACAACAGTTGATACAGGACAACCTCGAAAGGCCTTCATGATACTAGAATCAGATGAAGACTTTTTGGCAGGGTTACCTGAGGTTCAAATTTCAGGGACGTTGTCCAATCCACCAAGTCCAACTTCATCAACATCAACCGAATTTAGATTGAATACTACAGGCATGAAGTCAAAACAAAGTTCGAAAAAAGCAGAACCTAAAAAAAGAGTAGCCCCAAAAAAGTCGACGCGAAGATCACTTACTCGTAAAAACACAGAAGAAAACAAATCTCGTAGTATTGACAAATCAAACTATAAAACAGATTTGGATATTTTCAGAAATGTTGATGTCGACAGAGTGCTCATAACGGTACATGAAAGTGATGACGACAGAGAGAATGAAATTAAATCAGTGAGGACCTCTTCACGTAAATTTAAAAAGAGTGAATCTCTGCAGCAAAAATCGAGTCCTTCCGTTGCTTCGCAGAAACAAGTCACACGTAGTATTTCCATTCAGAACAACGCAAGGACTCGTGCTTCTAGCAAAGAAAATGTTGATCGTTTATCCATTTTTCAGGTTGACAAAGAAGTTCCGAGTTCAAATAAAGCTACCGAGTCTGAAAAAAAAACCACTTTAGACACATCGCGTAGTAGAAAGAGATTACTTAACACGGCGGACAGAACGGAAAGTAATAATGCGAAAAAGCGTAAAGAAGATGATAATGGAAAAAGGTCTCTGGCTAGCAGAGGTAAAGTCCATAATACTAGAAGGATTGTCGTTAACAGAAAGAATTCTGCAAATATTCTTGACTACGTAACCGAAAGAAGTTCACCAGTGGACGTCAAAACTTCGGATAGCTCGCAGCAGTCAGTTGGGAGCAGTCAAGACAGTTCAGCATCTAAGCAATTGGTAGTAAAAATTATCAGGTTGTCTTCGAGTACTCCAACAGAGACATTGTCTCCAAGTACACCTACAGAATTAATGCAGGATAGACGTATGAGTGTCAACCATCCCAGTGTTATGAACAATTCGCCTAGAACAGAGAATAATAAAACTGCTGAAAATAGAGAAACAAAAAGAAATAAGAATAGAAAAGCAATAAATAAACGTCAACTTAAGGCAGAAGATATGAGTTCTCAAGTTGGAGAAGAATCACAGGAAGTGGAAATGATTATGAATTCTTCGCTCAAAGAACAATGTGGCAGCTTAAACGTCGAGAGAAAAGAAGATTCAGCTAAAAGTACAAGTACCAGAACGAGAAGTACTAGAGCACGTAGAAACACAAATGTTCACACCAATTTGGATGCCACAGACGGCACGTCTTTTTCTTCTGATATTTATGAATCGGATAACGCACGTTTCGAAGTGCCTATGCCTAAAGCCAAACGAACTAAAATTTCTAAAAAGACTACGAATATCGATGACACTGATGAAAGAAATACACCTACTATAAGGGAAATGAGAAATAGTCGTCGTCCGCCATCCAGATCAACCAGTAACCATCAATATCCAATCACAGATTCTTCCACAGAAGGAGCGACAGAAGCAAATGATAATGAAATTTCTGTAAATAATACTGTGAGCAAAAAAAGTAATCCTAAAAAGAAAGAAAGGAAACCAAAAACACGAAAGCTTGGAACTGGGAAAAAAAACACTGGTAATGTCATAGACGAGGAAACAACGTCTTCGGAAATGAATTCTAGCATAGACAACGTATTACTTCCTTCAACACCATTTAGGACACGTAGAAGTATGTCTATCCCATTCTCAACGTCATCACCATATAAAGAAAAACATAAAATTTTATTTACTGGTATTTCCAAAGATTACAGCAAGTTATTAGCAAAGTTGGGTAAGTTATTGTCATCTTAAACAATTACAATTTATCTTTACTGTAATTCTGCCTCTACTCCTTTATAGGTGCATCTCAAGTTGAAGATCCAACAAAATGTAGTGTATTGGTCACAGATAAAGTTCGAAGAACAGTTAAGTTTTTATGTGCGTTAGCACAATCAGTGCCTATAGTTGCAGTCAATTGGTTGGTTGACAGTGAAAAATCTGGGCATTTTCTAGAGTTGGATAATTATATATTGAAAGATCCAGTTACAGAGACTAAATTTGGTTTCATTTTACGAGAAAGCCTGCATAAAGCAAAGAAACAGAAACTGTTAGATGGTTATACTATTGTGTTAACGCCGAATGTGGCGCCACCGCCATTACCCGAACTGAAAAGTATGTTTATGTGATTAACTTTGATTTTATTTAATTAACAATTTTAAACCAATTTAATAAAATGTATCAATTTTACAGGTATAATTAGTTCATGTGGTGGTAAAGCTTTAGTTCGACCACCATCATCGTGGCCACAGAAAGCAGTCATCGTTTCTCGTAAGGAAGATTTAGCGAACGCGAAGAAATTTCTCGCAAAAGCTCCAAAAACCGTCACTGTACAATCAACAGAATTGATACTAACTGGTATTCTACGACAAGAATTAGATTTTGTTAAATACAATTTAATGTAATTGGTTACAGATCTATTATACATATATACACGAAATACGTATTACGCATAGCGATTTGTACATATTTTCTGTAACTAAAAGGAATTACATTCTATTGAACGTAGTCGCGTTTTAATTTTGTGATTTGTATATATGTATACACATACATATGCATTGATATATCCTACAGAAAGTTCAGAAGCATACAAACTTCATACTTATTTTTACACATCTAATATTGGGAAAGTATTAAAAATACTTTTTGAAAAACATTTTAGAATACAATTTATATATGATATAATTAAACATGTACTTTTATGCAGAAAGTATGAAATTATAAGTAACGAAATGAATTGTATACATTCATCTTCTTTCACTTTATTATTTAGTAACCCCAAATATTCTAATGGACCAGGTGTTAAATTAAAACTATGATACTCATTTTTTTACTAAATTTATTTTTTTTAAGGTTTTTATAATGACAAATCTTAAGTCACTTGTAATATTTTCAATTTTCCAGTGAATTTGAAATAAAAAAAAAGTCTTATAAAGTTAACAAAAATTATAATCTTCATAAACAAATGCGTTTTTCTAATGTCCACACTAGACAAAGTATTTTTACAGTCACATAAGTCACTACCTGCTACATTGAGCAATGGTTATTTTAACACCAATTAAATGAAATACTTCCAAGTGGATGCTGAAGATCTACAAATGTTTACGTTGTGCGTAAATCCAATTTAAACATTACTTAACGAGTCTATCACATTATGAAAACTCTTCATTCAGGCTGATCCTGATGCAAGAGTAGTCTAACTTAGGAGATATTTATTCTACAAATTATGGTGTAAGATGACAAATAGTGATAAGACATTGCCTATTAGTACTAAGTACTAATTATCTTATCCTAAGTGAGAGTCTATATTCAGCGACTAAATGCATTGTTGATAATAAAGAAAATGAAAAAAATGTTTTCATTTATTATAATATATATCCAAAGAGTTCCAGCCTGTCACAGTTGACTAACCAATACGTTTTCAAAGAGTAGAAGAGGTTAAGCACGAAGATTCTGAAACAAAAGAAAAACAAATTACTTTAAATACTTTAAAAAATAAACAAATTGTTTCATAATAGGTATTCCAAACCGTTCATTTTTCGAAAACAATCGTTACATCATGCTCTATTATTATTTATCCTGTTATCATAATTAAACAAAGGCAACAAGTGTTCGCGTAAGAAATGAGTCACCTCGTCACCTTTAAAATGTTGCGCAGTAGCAAAATAAAAACAAAGAACAGTACACGAACAAACTGCTATCATTCGAGATATAGTTAACAAAACGAATAATTAATCGAATTTAAATGCAACTTTTCGTTACATAAAACTATGCGCGTATATAAACATTATTAAGTTCAACTTATACAGAACAAACATCACCGTAAACAGGCACTAATCCGGCCAAGGTTAGGCATCTTTCCGGCTGTACTCAAATCGATAACGTAAATCGTGTATAATATGTCCTAGAAATGTCAGAAATTCCAACGCAATACGACGAAAATGTCACTTACAGTTTAGACCTTAGTTTTTCCGGCATGCCGCTTGTTATGCTCAGAGTTCATCAATTTTGTTAGAATCTTTCTGGAATGGCCGCTGGGATCGAAGTGATTTGTATGCGTAACAGCTTCGCGTTTACTTCGCTGTTTACCACTGTGACCTGTGAAGATATGCTTGTCGTAATCGTAGATGAAGTGCTCGTAATCGTCAGCGGAGTAGTCGGACATAGCTCTCAGATTTTCAGAAAATATATTCAAAAACAGCGCAAACACTGCCGAAAAATTGTACTTCGATTCGTACTTGTCGTTTAATACTGTTGGGAAGCAGTACGTTCCACCTGATTATATAGGCTGGCTATAAGCTGTCGCACATGCGCAGTCGAGAGCAATGTAGCTAGCATCAGCTAGCATAGGCTATCGTTTCGAACGTTTCTTCCAGAATGTTTTCTTTCCAGTTTCCCTCGTAAGTTGGTTTTAATTCGATTTGCTCGAAGTAACATATACGAGTGTAATAACTGTTGCGTGTCACAATAAATTGAAAAAGGTAAATTTAATCGAAAACGACTACACAGAATATACGGAGCTCAAATTATCTTCGAAACATTCGAACTGCATCATGTTACCAGCTATGTACTTACAAACAACAAAGGTTAATGAAAACATCCGCAATGATTGCAAAAAAGTTCGTAACCTATTCTCTCACTTATAAATAACCGAATGCTGCAAATATTTTAACGTAATTTATAACTGCTTTTCGTTGCATCTGCATAGTGTTATGTAATTCCGCGTAAACTAACAAATAATTAGGGTCAACTGACGTTTTTCTTGAATCTTATACAAGTACTAAAAATGTAGTGTTTGATGTGTACACAGGCAGTTTGATAGTATCGTGACTGTGCGGATATATATATAATCGTAATCTTGAAAAATTTGTTTGACCTTGGGACACTGCGTCTTTAGATTCAGAAAACAAATGAGATTAGAATCAATGAAACGTGCAGTATCACACATCGAACATTAATAGTTTACCGTAAGCGTTTCGGATGTCAAATTTTCAACACATGGAGGATATCTTTGTTTGGCAACATGCATATACATTAATCGTTCGATTCGTACTAGAGTACGCGTGCGCGGTCAGCGTTACATTGACTTCTACAAGTCCTTTGGTCATCGCAAACGACAATTGGTTTGCCTCTATCGTTCTGGGTGAGACACGTCGAACGAGACGCAGAAATAAGTATCCGCACGAGGCAAGGTAAACAAGATGTCGATATCAACCGGGTTCTCTGTACTGCGTCGTAGATATGAACTCAACGAGAGGCGCTAAAGATGCAACCGGGCTGACGAAATTCTAGGTTAACCAGAATGGTACATCTTAAACCTTTGATATCGACATGCTCCAATTACCGCGCGACTATCGGATGTTAATTATGCCTCCTACGTACATAGACGCATATGTAACTCTGCACACGTTGCGCGTCAGGTTATAGAAGTGTGTATTTACAGCCTGTTTCCGATAGAGTTAGGCACGATTTTATTCGAACAATACATAATAAAAAATAGTTATATCTAAAGGGGCCTTCCTTCCGACCTTTAAATGGTTAATGAGATGAAATAATTGTGTGCCTTTTCTTCATTCAAGTTCTATTCACTATTCATTCATTCAAGTAAAAGTAATATTTTATTATAAAAATTGGGATTTCCCTCTTTAATCGATCAAAAATGGCGAAGTATTTTTTTACCTTTTATGTGTGTTTGGAAACTCATTATCTAGATAATGAATTTGCCCATCTCTGGTTTCCGACTTATATACGTGCATCGTTATACAGTATAGACACAGGTGTGTCGTTAGATCGTATTTACCGGATGACATCAATATATCTTGTGTGTTAGGACACAATGAAAAACGCGTGAAAAATAAACATTCGGTATTAGAAATAGCGTTATAAATTAATATTGATGAACTTGGAATTGACACTGGCCTTCAAATTCCTGTTTTCGCTTATCGAAGGTTACTATGACTCACGGCTTGCGTTAAAAATATTACTAGCTCGCAACAGATTATGTTCTCCAAGGTTGTCAATAAAAAATTAATCGTAACAATTATACTGCCTAGTTTGATCGAGCGGCATTTAAGTTTCAATTTTGCAATTTATTATTCGCTGTGATCGCACGAAATGCAACCCGCTCAATGCTTTTGACACCTGCGTATACATTTACTGTTATCTCAGCACACGAATGTAGTCAGCCGTGGAATCACTTGAAGTTACCGGAAGTCGTTAGCTTTTCAAAATTGAAATCTTTTGAAGAGGTACATTGAAATTTTGTTAATCGATCTAATCTGGTTACTACTGAATTGTATTAAAATTCTAAAGAAACCGAAGAAATACAAGTATGAAGCTGAAAATTTGTAGGAGCTGTAAGCTTCGTTTGACACCATCTACAACGTATTATTTTGTACTTTCTTCCCGCGCAAACGAATCAATTACGTCGGATCATTTTTCCAAGCTTCGTTTTTAAGAATGCTAAAATTGGAAAGTGCAAACTACTTTCTCGAGATTATTAACAGTATCGTATAATTTAAAGAGATTACAAAATATGAATCTCTCCTTTTAAGTGTATAGTAATTTGATCTAGAAGTTTCCATCAGTGTAAAGAACTATGAAGGAAGTTTCATCATTCAACAGTAATTTGTGATTGATAGTTCCACTGACTATTAATAAATATAATTTTTTCGTTTTACACAAAAGAAAACAGCAACGTTTGTCTGTTTCTTCCGTCTATGTACTATGTATGTAGAACGTTCGCCCGCGGATTTCCGTTCGGATCGATAGTCTTGCATGTAATTTCATTCGCAGGCGTAAAAGTTTGCAGGAACATTCTTCTATAGCAATCATTCGTTCAATCAATAATATCTACAATTACCGTAGCATTGTATTTCCGATACAAAAATCGTTTAAGAAATTTGTACAGTGAATCGAGCGGCATTAAACGTTAGAAGAAATCGGCTAACGATATAAAGGTAGCACGTGCAAAAATTTTATTAAGGAAGTCGAAGTTAGTACAGGGGGAACTTACAACAAGAAAAGTTTCTTAAAATAATTGAAGATTTGAAAGATTAATGATCGAAAACTCGAACAGTATGTTTCTGTTCAACGTTCCCCTGTTGCAGGTTAATGAATTACATTTTACAGTCGAAGATAATATTTACTTATTATCATTCGTTTGAATTCAATCGAATCCATACACATCCCCGCCTTTCCGGAAGTCGGCGTTCGCATAAACTGTGCCATTATTCACCAAAATAACGCAACCCACGCTGCCGCGAACCCTGTAACGCGCGGTCTTATGTCCGATCTTCTTCAGTCCGTCTATCACTTGCTTCTGCACGCCGTACTCGTAGAAGATTTCTGGTGGATATAATTGATGATGTATTCTCGGTGCGTCCATGGCTTCCTTCACTGTTTGTCCCATCCAAATGATTTTGGCTACTATCTGAAAGTATAAAAAGTACATTGTATAATAAACAAAGACACGGCTAGCAAAATTTCTCGATTTCAAGACAAGATTCAATTAGAATTTTCTTAAAATCCCTTGTTTTCTTTCTCTCAAATTATACAATTGAGACTAAACACGAGCTTTAATCAGTTTATACTTTTCGAATAATTACTAGCTTGAGACCAATGATAGTACATACTCTTACCAAGCATTGAAATCATTATCGCAAAGTTCGTACTATTCTTCATTCTCAATTTTATTATTTCAATATATACAGTTGTTTATTGTACTTAAATATTCAACTTTAGTTTTCCATTCCAATGGAAAAGAATTAATGTAGGTATTTGAAGTGCGTATAATATATGTTCAAAGAAGGAAAGATCAGCCCGTTTCCTTTAGTGTTCTTTTTCCTATATGTATTTTCGGATTCTTTTGTATTTTCTAGACTTGACCTGGTTGTAGATATCTATATGTAATATGTAGTGTAACGGAAGGAATACTGACTTGTGAAACTGTCGTAGTGATTTTAGTTCCACCGGAAGCACCAACAACAATCTTCACATCATCATTCGAGTCAACGAGAACTGATGGTACCATTGATGACAAAGGCCTCTTTCCCGGTGCGATGAAATTGTTTGGACTAGGTGGAATGCCAAAGTAGTTGATCGTCGACGGCACACCGAAATCGTTCATTGCGTTGTTCAGTAATATTCCAGTACTTTCGCTAGTCACACCACTTCCGAAACTAAGAAATAAGTATTGGATACCGAATAATTGAATATGGTGATACTTTCTCGAATTTTTGTTTAATCAATTGCTTCATCCTCATTATATTAATTAGGAAAATGAAATTTCAAAATATGTATTTGCAAATTGACCATACTAGAAATTTATAGTACTCGTGGCTGCCACTGCGTCTCCATTTGGTGCTAATACTGAAACGTGAGCGGTTCCCTGATCCTTCACACTGCTTAGCGTAGAGGTTTCATAATGCTTAGGATCATCCCATGTCCTGTGATCATCTATTTTCGTTCGTGTTAAACGCGCGTAGCTCCTCGACGTCAGGTTCCCGATCAACTTAAAGAAATAAAAACACAGTAATAAGTACGCTGTGGTCACGATTTCTGGACATATAATACGGTTAACACGTATTGTTACAATTTGAATTACGAAGGTTTTTTAAAGTATTTCTTGTTAGACGAGTCTGTTCGTTAAACGAAGTTTACTAACTTCTTTCATGTCAACGAACTCTTTATCGGCCATGTCGTTTCTCAACGCGTAAGCGTACTTGAATGTCTCTATCATTCGATGATATGTCAGAATCGTACTATTGTAGTCGGCTATACTGTCAGGGGTAAAGTGGAAGTTATCTAATATATTTAAGATATATATAAACAGAGCTCCACTGGCGGGCGTACCAACGGTATAGACCTTCATTCCGTTAGACAGCTTAGATTGGAGAGGATCCACCCACGTAGTCCTGAAAGTAATCATTACTTAATTTCTAGCAAATGGTTCATAATATTTATTTATCTAAATATAACTTACCTATAACTTTGTAAGTCTTCGATCGTTAATATTGCCCCCTTCTCATGTAAATCTTGTATCAGAAGCTTGCCCAAAGTACCATTATAAAATTCTTTAGCTCCCTTCTCTGCAATAATTCGCAAGGTTTTACATAACATCTTTGGTCTGATAATCGAGCCTGGTTTGTAGAAATCGTTGGTCTTCGGATCGACGAACAAATTCCTGAAAAGAAGCGATTTTTTAAAAATTATATGATACTATCAAACAAAAATAACGGATCATAGTACTGTGTTTACTTTAATACTGAATCCTTATAAATATTGTTTGCATTATATCTAAATCCGTCGTATTGGATTTTTGTTAGATTGTATCCTTCCTCGCAGAGTTCGATCGAAGGTCTAAATAAATCAGCCCACGGTAATTTACCAAAACGTTGGTGGGCTTCCCAATAGCCGGCTAATTCCCCGGGCACAGCAATGGCCAATGGACCTGATAATATAATAATGTACCAATTTCTTGGTTGTTTATTTGTTTAGAAAAAAAGGGAAGAAATAACAATATGTGTACCAATAAACGATGCTTCTTTGGGCTTTCCTTCGTACATTGTTTCATTGGCTGCCAATGGCGCCCGGTCTCTTGCAATTAATGTATAAGCACGTTTCGCTGCTTTATCGTAAATTGTCATGAAAAATCCACCGCCGAGACCCATGCTTTGCATATTTACAAGACCATTACAAATCATAGAGGCTATTGCAGCATCTACTGCTGAGCCATTGTTTTCTAAAATCGATCTACGAAAATTAGTAGAATTAGTAGAATTTTCTACGAAAGAAGTAGCAAAATATTTGTTTATATTTATCAGTTTAATTTATTGTCACTATATGTCATGGTATACGTACTTTCCCACAACTGCGCATGGTGCCCCATCCGCGCAAACTGCGCTCCGTTTAAAAACTCTCAGCTTACTCCATGATGGAGGTAACGTCATTTCCGGATCAGGCGGTACGTTTTCGTCCTCATAATCTTCCCTATTCGCTCCATAAATACTACAAACCGCTGTTATCGCAAGGATCACCGTAGCTAATACCACACCGGCTATTATAATATTTTTCGTGGTAAGGTAAAATCTGAAAATTAATTTATTTTTATTTTTAGAATTGAAACAATGTAGTGTTGTATATAATTAACACACAAACAAACGGATTTGTAAAAGTTATTTCTAGCTTACAGATGTTATTTAACATTTATCCAAATAATCAAATGATTTAAAATTAAGAGAATTTAAATTTATTGATACACCGCTACAAGAATTCTTGTTGCTCCAAGCATCAGCCATATTACTACAAACAGTATGAATTATTCCACTAGTCTATATAGGGTGACCCATGTAACATTACTCACTATTTTTCTGCCATTTACGGACATGCAACACAACGTGTTTTGAATCGTAAAAGTATTCCGAAAATACTTTCTTTAGACAGCGAAACGAAGGTTACCTTGTTTTCGCTGTTGTTTTTTTTCACGAGATTGTAAAGGATCTCATGACAAATTCAAAAAGTATATTTACGTAATATTTTTATTAACTTACTATCAGGTTTACAGTAGACTTTATTTACAGTCTGCCCTAGGTATGTTTACAGTTTACATTGTTCCAAAATGAAGTATGTCAACGCGTGAAATATTATTTCGATTACTGTAAATTTGGTACTGAGTTATTAAAAATATCAAGTAATATGCTTTTTGAATTTGCCGTGAAGTCCCTAACAATCTCATGAAGAAAACATGCGGTCCTATTATGTTAACCAAGATGACCTTGGCTTCGCTATGTAAACAAAGTATTTTTAAAATGTTCTTTTCGTTATTTGTAGAGCACTCGATGCAACTATTAAAGAACGGTTCAAAACACTTTTTGTTGCATGGCCACAAACGGCAGAAAGATAGCGAATAGCGTTGCGTGTGTGGGATAACCTGTATGTATATGATACTTCATAGATTCTTGCCGATCGTAGATAAGGCGGTACGAAGTTTGCCATATGAACATATCAATAATTACCAGTGTTGTTAAAATTACTTTCCGAAAATATTACCACTTTTCCGTATTATTATCACACTGAGATTGCAAGTCATTTATTATTTTCGGAAATTCGGCTTATCCCCAAAGTTATCATATTGGAGTGTCTATATCTTCAGTCAGTCAGTGGCTGCGCATATAGCGACGGCGACGTGTTGTACGCGCCCTTCTCAAAATTGCATAATTCTAAACATTTGAAAGTTCTATAATTCTTTAACTCTGTATACATTTTTTAGTAAGTAGTATTTCTACCAAATATAATGTACAGTTTATGTTATCTAATATCAAATTTATACATATCTAGGAAATCTAAAAATACACAACGATAAAGTAGTGAAACTGAAATCAACATCGAGGTTATGTGCAGTTGCTGCTGGTGAGTAATACTTATTTCTAATGTATATATAACTATACCTGTTTATTAAATACGAGGTGTGCAAGCTGTAAATAATTTTATTGTATTCTAACTCCGTATTCATTATATATTAAAATTTCGACGTGCAAGCTGAGATACTATCAATTATGATAAGCATTTATACATTCTGCACATTATGTTTTATTATACTTAAGTACTCTTTATGGGACTGCAGGTTTTCTGTGTTTATAGTAAATATGAACTTATTCAGTATAATATAATAGAAACATGAATACAGTAACACATATTTTAACTTTATTTTTAACCTAATAGAAGATCTAATAAAGCAAAAAATGTCTATTTTCCCCATTGGTCACTCAAAATTTAAATTTACATAAACATCCGAAATTTGTTTTTAATGTTATCAATTCATTATCTAAATCAACCTCATTATTAATTTTTTAATATGCAATACATCATCGTTAACAGTAAGATTAATTGATAACGTGGTAATCAAATTTGATACGCTAATAAACAAAGACACATATAATAATAACAACCTTTTTGCACTTTGAATAGTCTCGCTCGGGAATAATCGAACATGTCATGCCCTGTTTAAAAAAAAGAGCGGATTTTATTTTAAAACGAGAAGTCCTCCACTATTTCTATGTTTCACTTCAAAGTAAACTAATTTATTAATTTCTCTGACTTATCTTTTGGAAAATAATAGTTGTCTCTATCGTTGATTCAAATTCCCGCCAACTCACGTGTTAATGAAGTGTCTCCTGAATAATCCGCTCGCTCTGTTGCGACTGGGCGAATATGAGCGCAAGAGCCGAGCGGTTCCGATCTCGTCCGAGTCAAGGAAATTTCGTTTGTCGTTATCGTAATATTGACGAAGATCGTCTGTACTGGCGTACGCGGAACTCGTGCTGGACGATGCCGAGGTCTTTTTTTTTCTCTGCTACAAAAACACGGGACGGTAATTATGTCATGATCGAGAGTAATTACATAATGTCGATGATAATCGTATGCGATTTCGCCGAGTGAATGGCTGTCGCCACCTTTCGTCAATTGAGACAAACATATCACGTTGACAGGTACGTTGTCCGGTACCGAAAAGAAACACTCACTCCGTAAAACCGACGGTTCTTGATCACCATTCATAATCGGATTGTCTTGTATCTTCTCCGATTTCGCTTCATACAGAATCTTCTGGCCATCTCATTCCTATGACTACCGAAAATCGAGCGTTGTAAATCGTGAGAAACAGTAACCGCATCGTTCGACAACGAACAGCACTAGCTGACCGGAGAAAATCAATCTGAGCTTGCGCATTTCTCACCTTTCTCACCGAATACATACTCATCACGTGCGCGTACAGCATTTTAGATTTGAGAAAGTTAAGAAATTTGTATCTTCTTGAAATGTGTCTGCATAGTTCATGAGAAAGTAGGTGGGGGGAGGCTCATCATTTCGCTAATTTTGAAATTGTTGAAGAGATACAGACCCTAAAAGTTGGCAATTTTCGCCGATTTTCACAAAAAGTACCTTCACTAAAGAATTTTTATCTCCGCAACCATTAAAGATACGCACCTGATTTTTTCATTTAACGTAAAGGATCGTTCTTTCTAATATTTTGTTTTATATATGTAAAGTTATTTTTGCAATATAAAAATGTTAAAAGTATTATTTCTTTGGAAACTGGACCACTAGGTCATATTTAAACAAATTTTGTTTGGATATTTTCATATTCTGTGATATTTCCTGTTTAAAAGTAATTTGTTTAATTGATGGTTATTACAATTGTGGTCGGAACAGGTCGACAAAGGTCGTGGCGTGACAACAAACTACATTTCTAACTATCAAAGTAGTGGACAAAAGTGGTCCACTTAATGTGGAATGACCCAGACCCTGATGTGCAATTCATTCTTAATCATTTTTTTCATTATGGAGATTGTTAAAGGGTGGAGTATGGTACGAAACAACAGCGATTACATCGCAAATTAAAAATGAAAGTAAGCACATTCTGATATAAGTTAAATGAAGGGCACAACAAACGTCACAACTTTCAGATTGTCTTAATATATGTATTAGAATTCATGTAGTGATTTATGTCTTTCTGAGGCCAAACTGGTCAAAATCACATTTTAGAAGGTTCTTCATAAAGACAAAAACAAAAGTAGGAAATTCTTTCTTCCCTTAAATATTTTATTGGATTCGAAAGGAAATAGAAAACCCGTTGCATCTGATGAAACTTTTATCCTTCATTGTATTTCACAAAAACATATAGGCTGTAAATGCATAAAATCCGCAGTCTAATAATCCCATAATGTAATTCCAAAGACAGTCTTACTTTATTTCTATCCCCAAACAAATATTTGCACCCAAAAATATTTTTCTTTCTACTTTATATCAGTGACGACAGATATAATAAGACTACAAATACCATTGTTGTCGGGGGGTCATCAATCTGTCTCGAAAACGAGCGCCATTTGCTCAATTTTACCATAAGAGTATAAATCACATTTGCACTGCAGCATACATGTAGGATATACATATGGATGTATGTGATAGCCACAGACGAGAATTTCGTCTGCGGTGATAGGCTTAACTTGACACTGAGTTCCACAGGCACCCAAAATCCATGACCCCTCGATAACAATGGCATCCGTAGTCTCATTGTATCTATAGTCACTGTTTATACGATGCTCAGTTACACGTAACATTAATTAATATTTTACTTATGGTAAATTATTTTTTTTACTTTTAAGATTTTATACGTTTACATTACTTTGTTATTCATAGCAACTCATTTTTTATTAGTAGAATTAAAAACGTGTAGAATAAATTTGTTATCTCCGAAAAACAAAAACATTGAGGATTTTATGAATACACTAGGTACTATGCGTGCTGTGTATACGTTATTTTTAAATTTACAACTTCCGTTAGATATATATATATATTTACTTAATAGAATTATTTAGAAAAAAGATTTTATGCTTTAATTTAAAAGAGGTTCTTACTACTACAGTAACACATTTTTAACTAATAGTGTCTGAAAATTACTGGAGTAACCAAAGGGTCGCAGACCTCACAAAGCATGATAATGTTTAATTAGGGAAATTAAACACCAGTCTATGATGCACCGATATTATAATGATAATGAAACAATGAAACCAGCAATTAAGAGGAGTTACATATCTGGGTCGTAGTACACGTGGGGTGAACTATCAGGAAGTGGCATGCAATTGCGACAATTTATAGCAGATAGTCAACGATTATAGGGAACCATTAAGCTCCGCATAATACGTTTCAACAATACGTGAACGCGTAAAACGATGAAACCACGCGATTCGTTTCGACTATCGGTCTGTACGATCAATTTCACGTTTTATCTTCTGTTCCTTTGTCACGTTCGATTTGATAAACTCAATTACATATCTTATTCGATCGCTAACTTGCTCGTCGCGTCAAATAAGAATATTAATTAAAATTAAATTTAAAAATTATTGAACACAATTGATTTCAATTTGAATCGTCTTTATGTTATGGAATTGCTTGTTAAAAAAACTTTTCTGTGAAAAACATAATGGCCGCTGAGGTCACTGTGCACTTGCTTGTCGTAAATCTACCTTATGTTTACAGACTTGTTTTGTTATCGCACTTGAGGTTTTTTAACGCGCGTTACTTTGTCATAGAAGTGCGCAGTGCCTATTCGAACATTATGAATGTTGATTACTAATGATTACAGTATTATAATCCTACCTCGATTTTCTTCTCCTTCCCTCGATTTCCGTAAAACTGTTTCTTCGTGTCATGGTTCCTCGCGGCTACAGAGTCCTTCCAATATTTCGCGAGCTGTAAAAAGAAGGCGTCGCGCGAACTTTAATCAAGGATACTACTTACTTAAACAATCTGCCCGAGACATCGAAGATAGAAACGGCATGGAATAAAGAACGCGTGCAAACAGTATACCACGTATCTAACTTACGAATGCGTTACGACGAAAATAACTGCGTGACGATATAATATTTTCGGGTGTACACGTTCCCTGGAAAAAGCGTAAAAATAACATTAAAAGTGTTTCTTTAAATCTGCGCGGTCTACACGTTCGATTCACGTACTTTCTCGTCAGAATCAATACATTTAAATGAAAATCAAAATCTTTAGTATATCAGACACACTTGTTACGGATTAATACAGAAGCTTGTAATATTATGCAGTATGAAGAGCATTGTACGATACCTTCGTTAGGATTGGTATTCGTTCCCCGTCCACTCTAGTTTCATTATTGACCGGCTTCAATGATCACGACCGGCCGAGCACTATAGTCCAAACACGAAATCGGTGCAGAGTAACGAGAGTAGACGATTCGATCAATGATCCCACCGATGATGACCGTTATGACTTTCAACGGGTATTCAACGATGTCGTCCCGACACACAGTTGTTACGTAGTGCTCAGGCCAAATTGTTCATCGAGCCGCCGCCGCGTACCCCTCGATCGAGGTAGAAGGGATTGTTTCTTGCCCGGCCCGACGAAATTAATGCCCCTTATTTGAATTCCAGTCGATAGAGGACAGGGTTGTGCTCCGAAGATCTTTGATATGTATTCCAGAAGGAGGTCCTCGTTTCGCGGCGGTATACTATATACGCGCGCGCCGCTTTTTGCACCTTCTTCTTTGCCGAGTTATATACCAGTTCTTCTGATCCCGCAAGGGGATACGAGAGGAAGCATACCAATTTACTTCGGCGTTTCTGGCGAACTACACGCGTGGGATGACCGAGGGGAACGAGGGCTCCCGTGAAATTTGAATGTTTAAGTACATAGGATCGAGAGCCTCGATGCCCCTGAAACTCTGAAACTTTCACGGTGTTCGTCTTGTTCCTTATTCTACAGGGTATTCCAACGTACAGTCGAAGAAAAAAGTTTTCATACACCGGTGCCATTTATTATGAATTGACAATACTACTGTCACTATAATATAACGTTAACCCATTAGGACTCAACGTTACATTAATGCAAGTTTTTACTCGCAATATTTTTCAGTGAATTTATACCCAGATAGTACATGACGCCTTAAAGACACCTATTTTACGGCTATTTTAGGTCTAAGACGCCTTTAGAGCCGTTTTTAAGGCGTCATGTGCTATCTGGGTATTATTGAATTCTGTACTTCATGTTGCAATTATGAAAGAAGATTTCAAATATTTGCCTAATATTGTTTTCGTTACTACTTTTTTCTCCGGCTAGGTCGTACGATGTTTTGAAATTTGAAAAACTTTATGTAGGTATTCATAGCACTATGATAAATACATTTTTTCTTATTCAGACAGGTGCCTTTTTTATTTACGAAACGTATTGGTATAGACTGTTTTAGGTAAACATAATAAACGTCATGTAGTTAGTTTCACATAGTTACACTTTTTGTGTAGTAAACGCAACAAGTTTATTTTTCGCTGAATAACAGTTCTCCAGACAAAAATATCAGAATATTAAAATTGAAGCTGAATTTGAAGTCCAACGAAATATTTACAATCCGACAAACGTCAGAAGACATTACCGATATTTTCGTCGTTTGATTTTGGACGACCACCAATTTTATTGTTAAATGGAGTACTCATACATATATACTGCAAACAAATATTTTTCTTAACAATTTCAAATTATAAAAGACAAATCAAATATAGCAAATAATAAATATTATCGCTTCACGATTTCGCTCGCACGTTTCCATGCGTATTAAAATCAACTGTCCTATCACTTACAATGTCAAAAAAAGCTATACATACGAGCCATTCTACCTAAAAACGTACAGGGAATTGCGGTCGTAGTCATCGATTTCTTTCAAATACACAGCATTTGTTGATAACCACGAAAAAATGAACCATTTCAAATTTTAGCTTCCTATCTGGAACCGTTTCCAAGATGTCAAATTTTTGAAAAATTGATCAGTTGACACGACATGACATCACTTCAAGCGCAATATTTTGGTTATTTTTAAAGATAGAGTATTGATCTTGCTCTCATTTTAAATCCAAGAAAAAGTTTTCTTTAACTGTATGCAAAAAATTGTGTTTATTGTTAATAAATACAATAATAACTAAAGTTACATTTTCGAATGCCGATTTGACACTGTTCCCACCCACGGATCAATTTAGAAAAAGTTCCATTGGATTCCTTGAATCTTCAGTTTTAAAATACGCTTTTCAAAAAGAAGGAGCAATTTCGGAAACATTTAAAAACAAAATAAAGTTCATCACGGTGTATGCCGATGTCGCGATGAGTCAAACAGTTACCACGCGCCGCCACGCGGTCGTGCTATACCGGGTGGCGCACAATAAACACTTCGTTTATCACTTATCGTAACATGTAGAAAAATATATGTATATTCTACACTACCTAAATTTTATTATCAAGTGTTTTGTTACGTTATCGTATTTATTTTCCTGCTATGTATTTGGCAAATTAATGTAATTTCCTTACTTCTGTAACTGATGATTTGTATCTGTAATTAGCAAAAATATACAAAGTCAAATGGAAATCAAAGAATGTCAATATTTACAAACATTTTAAGAAAACTATTAAAATATATTATCATATAATAAAACTGAAGTCTCCACTTCGATCTTTTTTTCGACGATATTCCAAGCGGTTAAATATAAACATAAAAGTAAGTCTTCTGCTGCAGTCAGTCCTCTGCAACATACACATTATTGGATGTATATTTTCAAAATATGTACTTCTAACTGTCCACACTCCATATTTCCAACGTCGTCACATGTGTTAGTCCTTCTATAAAATGAGAGTTTTGAAAATGTGCTACTACCTACATACATATTACTACGACTCCATTCCAACTTTGTAGTGATTTTTATCACTTTTCCCACCATAATTCTACTACATATTTTAACTTTTTTCCAATTACCCAGCAAGATATCACATTTTGGAAACCCTCATTTTATAGAGAGGAAGGATCGAGGAATAACGAGCGAATTTTATTTTGCTGGTATTATGATGCTTTTTGTTTGAATGTTTTGCATACAGTTAAAGAAAGCGTTTTCTTTGCTTTAAAATGAGAGCAAGATCAATACTTTATCTTCAAAAATAATCAAAATATTGCGCTTGAAGTGATGTCTTGTCGGCTGATTTCGTCCAATTTTTCAATGAAAGTTTACTCTAAATTATTTTAATATTCCAGAGTGTTTCTAAGTTATTTAACCAAATTTAATAATCAAAATAATAATATTGATTACTTAAACATTGGTTAATGAACATGATCATTAATGAAAATACCTATCATAGAAGCGAATGTTGCATATTCTGGGTACTGAGAAACTATTCGAATACCAAATATGGAATTCTAATTCCACGAGGAATCAATTCATCGTTTATGGAAATGATATTCCAAAACGATAATTTTGTAGCATCGCGGCCGGAAAATCTCCCAGCCGAAATTAACTTTGAAGGCTGATTACACAGATAAATGAGTTTTCAGAGTTAGCGGTTGCATGGCCATCGGCACGAGACGATCCTGAGAGTCATCCCGACAACGACGGTCCTCGACGAAAATCTATTATAAGTTGCTTTACGAGTTTGATAGTGTAATGGCGATTCACGAAATGCCAGGTTTAATACAATATTGATAATTTTACCGAGTAGGTACCTTGTTAAGTAACAAGCTTAAACGTTCCCTACAATGTGCCGTCGTCATCAATGAGCTATAGATAATAGCGTAGTATCGATTTCTCTTTGTTAGTTCAAGGAACCGATTTAATGTTTACAAAAAAGTAAGTTAAAAGGATAAAAACCAATTATGAAGAACAAAATAAGAAGGAATGTGTAATTTATCGTGATCTTAATTATTGATGATATTAAATAATATTTCTACAGGAGTTCTTGCATACAGAAAGTGGGAGAATATTCGGATTAAAACAACTGCTTTTTAAATAATATCTTTATTTTCTCTAACGACATACACTCAGACATCATTTAAGTGATGATACCTTACTATTATTAACATTAAACACTCGAACCCGACAAAGTTCTTTACGCCGGAATGGTAAAAGAGTATATCTCGTCAACGAGATCGACAAACGTTGAGATCCTTTTTCTTTTTACTCTAATTGACGAATTTAATAACGATAGCAGGAACATTCAAACCAAAGGTAAACATATTCTCGTTTATGGCTTCCAACTTTTAACGTCAACACAGAATCGGACATGTTCAAACTGAGGAGTTCCCGTAAATTCTTCATAATTAATACTTATTTAATGAAATTTGTACTCTCGCATCGAAATCAATACTTTTAACGACGGAACCGTTACTTCCTTTGAAAAAAGGAGTTTAACAGGGACTAAGGAATCGTCGATTCTCTCTGTTCATTTTCCCTGAACATATGTTTTCCGTTCAAATGTTCTGCTCAAAGGAAAACATTATCCTTTTTTTTTTGTTAAAGTATCCACCGTTGTGGTAACACTCACGCACGCATACAACTCTCGCACAATCTCGCGTTCTACAAAACTTGAAACATCAATTCCAACAACCACGAAGATTAACGTTCGGTTAACTTCCAGTGACTCTTCCAACAGTTAAAATTGAAAATTATTACCGTGTCGGTGCATACACAGTAAAGGCTCCCCTAGACGATACGATTTGTCGTACGACAAGGATGTAACTGTCGTTCAGACGATAGAAGCGACGTATGCTGTACGATCAGTCGTACGACAAATCGTGTCGTCTATGGGCCGCTTAAGTCGATCACAATCGACAAAGAACTGTACAAACATTTCTAGTAAAAAGAGTTCGCACGATACGTCCTCGCTCTTCAGTCACATCAAGTTGCCATCCACGTGATCGGTCATCATTTATAATCAATTGCACCAATCAATGACCGCCTAACCATTAATCGATCCGCGAACAAATTACGCCGATTTGCTCGGTGAACGATAAGTCTTCTAAATTGCTATTTCTACACTGATGCGTTGCTATCCGAATTTCAATATTTTTTCTTTCCTCAGTCACTCGAAATATCTATCCAAATCTTCTACTAAGAATAACATTGAAATGAATTTTTCATTTCTGAATTTATCGCTAAAAATAATACTGAAACAGAATCTTCAATTCTACTAGATTACGTAAACCATGTATGCGCGATCGTTTATTCAACTCGTGCACAATTTGAGATTTCCATAAATTAATATGTCATATTTATTCAACGTTATTTAACACGGTAATTGTCGTATAGATATACATTTTCCAACGTTAAATTAAGTATTATACACATGGAAATCGATAAAGTTAAATACTGTATACAACAAATAACGAAAGCATTTGAACCATAGGATTGTTAACTGAGAGAGACGATTTAACTCGTCACCTGACATATGGTACTACAAGTTTTTCTTTTTTTCTTTAGTTATATACTGAATTTTAAGTATAAATCGCGTGAAGTATAAATTACATTCTTTCATGTCTGTTGCGGAATGGAATGCATGCAACTGTTTTTATTTCCCTTTAATCATACTTATGTGAATATCAAGGTTCGAAAAATTACCTAATTTGGTTAATAGGTTATAAGCTACTAGAATAAGAACTGTATAAACGTTAAGAATGAAGAAAATTGTACATATACGTATTACCAGATACTCGTTATAAACTTGAGAAACAATGAAATGATATGTGCACAAATTACATACTATGTATTTATTCTAACGATGTAGATATGGAATCCTTTTGTTCAAATACTTTCATTACTCACTGTATAATAATGAAACGTACAGTGTATAATTAAGATTAGACTGCGGATTTTATGCATTTATAGTGCATGTGTAGCACTAACTCAAATACCATAAAAGACAAAACTTTCATCAGAGTTAATACATTTTTTACTGTATTCTTGACCCTGTAAAACCCTTAAAAGGAAAAAGATATTTCTGTTTTTACGTCTGTCTTCATAAATTACTTGATAGAGTGTAATTTTAGATAAAGATCCGCAATCTAATAATCATGATTTATTTAGATGCTGGAAAAATCTGAAAGCATAAAGCTGGCGACAGTCAACGTGTTAAATAAACGGAAAAATGTATTAATTTTCAAAATTAGATACTAAATTCTAAAGTTAGTAAAAGAAAAAACGTAATTCGTAGAAGATCCGTGTGGTCAAACAACGAGTCGAGTGTTTCCGAGCAAGTCGCGCCAATTCTCCATCGAATCATAAGCATTTCTACTGTCGCAAGAACTTTCTCGGGTGTTCGTTATTTGTCGTGTGGTTTTTCTCCGCGAATATCCGCGGGAAACTTTCGTCACGGCGAGGTAACAAAGAAAATTATTACAACGAGCGTCGTCGCGAACTTCTCCACCGGACTTTGTCGACACTTGTACATGGATGGTCGGGGCTATAAACTTTCCTCGAAGTCTCGAGGAGGGAAACAACTTTTTTTTTTGCGTCGAGATTAACACGATCGCGTCGTATTAACGCATTCAGGATGGCGTAATCGCCACAGATTGGTCATTCTTCGTTTAGTATCAGTTTAATACACACTGACAAACCATCCTGTTATTCTATCATTTTTCATTAAAAAACGTATTTTATTATACGGCAGAAATAGTAAAAATAGGAACAATAATTATTGACGATATTAATATCTGTTAGAATATATTTATCGCCATCTTGAATGTGTTAATAACCTTTACAGCGGAGATCGCAGAACTGCTTGGACAGACAGTTGTCTCATTAACGCTGTTCTCTGGTTGAGTAGAAGTATAAAAATATAATTTCAGGATATGTCGATACATTATAAACTATATCGATCATAAAGGGACACGTTTGGCTCTCCTTGGCGCGCGGTACTTCTCGAATTCGACGGACGTTCAGTGAAAAAACGGTCGGATTCGTAAAAAAATAAGAATTCGTTCTGACCTGTGACACTCGAACGGTTATCCTTCTGTACAGCATGTACATTTAACTTAATCTCGTACACGTTAATTATTGTTGCATCGAGTGACAAATTATAAAAGATTCGAAAGAACACTGAAATCAGACGACATGTCCATCGATCGAACTTAAGAGGACGAGGCGAGAAGAGGTCTGCGTTGCGTGATCTCTTTGCAGTCCTGAGGAACGTTCGGCTTTCGAATCGTTTTCGATTTCCGCCTTAATTGCTTGCACTTTTGTCCCTCTGTTTCCCCCTCAATCTTCTCGAGATTATCCTCCTCTGTACTTTTGTCCGCCATTTCCTTCGAGTCGATTTCGTCGACACTGCTCCAACTGTTCTCACTCTCGCTGCGATCTCTGTCCCTCTTCTCTGCTTTCGTGTCTTCTTTTTCTTGCTCTCGACAGCCTCCGTTCTCCTGTGCACACCATTCGTGTAGAAAATGGATATCATTATTATGAAAATGTTCATTTACGTAATATTCTTTAAAATTCAACTCTACGATTTATGAAATCTTTCATCGTTTTGCAGAATTGAAATGAGAATTATTGTATTCTGATCTGATAATAAAAGCTAGCAAAACACTTATCTTTAATTTAGTATTTCTTTTTTTTACGTCACTTGTATTTCATTTTCTAGCCATGTACATAGCTTGTTTCTAAGAATTGTATTTTTATTTTTATTAAATTACTTTCACGTTAGAGAGCATTACATACACTTCCATCCATAAGTGATCGGATACTTATGCAATACATATTTAGAAATAATGTTTTAATAAAGTTTATTATAAATTATTGCTTATAAAAAATGTAAAATGAATATGAAAAATATTTTATGTGATAGTTTCAATTAGAATGTGAAAATGTAAACTTGTCGACCATGTTGTACGAGCATCGCCACAATTTTTCCGTCCTGTTATACTAATTCGTGGTATGTATGTACATATATGAACCCATGTCATATAGGGGTCTAATGTTTAACTAGCGTCTTCACTTCGTTCAGAAATATCCATATCAATGAAACTTGGCAATTCGACAGTGAATTCTTCAATTATCATTTTTAAGTGATTTCTCTCAAATCATTCTGTCATCTCTTTCAATAATTCTTCGTCAATTTTTCACGCATGATCTAACTTTTTTTTAAACAGGAAATTATTTAAAATAAAATAAATGAATAAATTCTCCACTTTTAAATAACGCAATGTCTGATCACTGATGGACGGGAATATGTGTCTTATTTTTATTATTTATAGAATCTATTGTAACGTCAATCATACACAATATCGCAAAATTATTATAGATTTGATTGTAAATAAAAGTGGTTAAGTTTAAGTGTCTCATTAAAAAGCATCAAAATGTACGACACTTCAGAATTAATTCAAACGAAACGTTTTGGAAATATAGTAATTGGATATTTTCAGTGTAACTTTTAATGAAGTTCCTCTCGAAACACCGTTTCATTCTATTATTGCTCTTTTTTTTGTCACAAAATTTATTGGAAAAGTTTGGTAATGGAAACGGTTGTTACCATGGCCGCAGCTTTTGTCGGCATTGTCGTGGTGGTGGTAGTGACCGTGGTGTCCGTGGTATCGCTGCTTTCGCTGTTATTGCTCGGTCTGACGCCAACTAAAAGTGGCCCTTCCTCGAAATTTTTTCCACGGCCATATCTTCGTGACGACGCCCAAATATCTGATGAATTTTTCACGTTGACCTTGGCGAGTTTTTGCGCAACACCGGTCGTCCACACGCTCGCCTCGCTGCTTCCCGTGCTACTGTCGCTTCCGGTACTGCAGTGCCGCCATCTTCGTTCTTTTGGAAACACACACGAGATGGTAGATAAACTAATTAATCTCATTCTAGGATTAACACTACGACAACCGAATGAAATATGGTTTCTTGCTATATACAGTCTGTTTCACAAGAGCGTTGGAACGATATCTGGAAAAATAATTGATATTTTTCAAAAATTCAATAACAGGCTTCTAGTATATCGAAAACACTACGACGCCACATTAAGAATACGTCAGTATATTTCCTTGCTTTGTTCACGTAGCAATCTCGATACCTTTTTCTTTTACAACTGCCTGTGTCAGAGATTCGTGTTCTCTTACATTGTTAATTTTCAAAATAATACCCAAAAGTAATTTTTAAGTAGCTATAGTGAACAGCAAAGAGCTAACATTAAAATGATGCAAATGTGGCGTTAAAAAACTTGGTGCCAGTGTGGTGTCATGGGTCGTCATAGTGTTACTAAGAAAACTTTGCGAGAGATGCTCCAGAACTCGTGGTGTATACGAACGTGGACAGATATTTGCATGCAGATTACTATTCTTGTATGGGCATTGGGCAAGTTTCACTCCGTCAAAATTTTATGGTCTCTTACTTATGGTTTGTCTCTAGTACCTGAATTTAATCAAAGTTTTGCATGTGTTACAGGCAGATTAATGTAAAGTTTTTCTAGGATTTAACCGCGTTAGTAAACTATAGACTTTATGCATTGGAACCTATATGTATGAGTGAGCAAAATGAGGGTGATATAAGAATTATAATAATGTTAAATAAAATGGAATATTTAATAAAAGAATTAAATCAAGTTAATATTTCATACATAATTTATGTAGATATCCCCAATTTGTTCATCAGAAATGAAAAGAAAAATTGTGGTGATCATAATCAAAAGCTCTAAACGATGCTTTATGTAGTAATCAATACCATTCGGGTGGTATAATATAACAATACAGTTTGTTTAACTAATGTAGGTAGAATATAATTTGAAGACAGTAAAACATATGATTCTGAAAAATTTTTTAATTTTGCGTTAACAAAGTTTATATTAAAATATACACACGTCCTGTCAAAGAAATGCCTAAGTGAACTATTAAGACGTTAATAAATCAAATGTTTAAGGTACCCAAGAGTGTACTATTTTTATTAAATTAGTTTTTTCGTAAAATGATAAAACAGTGCTTTGGTAATAATTGTTGATAAAGATACTTACTGTCGCATGGCAGAACATTTGAGAGGAAAGGTTTCCTCAGCAAAGGACTTCCTCCATCTTGACTATCTTCGCTACACGCTCGCGTAATGAGGATCCTCGGGCTTCTTCTTGATGTCTCGTTCAATGCTATTGAACAGCCAGCGCTCACGTCCGTCCCAATGAAGTCGCTTCGATAATGGGGACCCATCAAGCTGGCTGCACTTGCGCTAGACCGTACAAGCTTACTGCTTTCACCTATTAAAACAACGTTTCGATCGTGTCACCGCTAATACAAATTTTATTGTTCCAACAAGTTCCTTAATTAACGATTGAAGCAAACAGAACATTTCGTAACACAACATTAATAGAATATTAATAGAATATTGTCATTTTCTCCTATTCGTACAAAATATATAAACTTTTTATCTTATATGTGAATTAAAGATCATTTTCCTCGGAGTTATTAGAAAAAAAGTTTGCTTCATTCGACAATAAAATAAACTAACATTCAACAATTCTCAAAATGGCCTAAGCACAATCTTTTGGGCTAAATAATTTTTTAGTTGCATTGGTTGATATGAGAGTCTATAAGGTATTAATTTATGCATATTTGATTTTTATATATCTATATTAAAATTATTGAATTCATTGTTAACCTGATTCCGAAGTTGGTACTCGGAGCGTGTTGCACGATGCAGCTGGCTGCAATCTGGTTCGATGAAAGCCAAGATTGTTGCTATCGATACTATTCCCACTCCTGCAGGAACCTAACGCTAGAAGCGCCTCGCTGAGTCTTCGTTGTAACGGAGGGAACGGAAAGAAGGAACCAGTTCCACTTCCGGACGGTCTCCTCGATCCTGCTGCGCTTGGCGTCCTTGCTTGGATTTCCTAAGTTCCAAACGATTTCTGTTCAATGAGATCATCGCTTAAAAAATTCTAAAATGAACTATTCAAAATCTTTTCTGAACCTTTTTCCATCTTCCTTCTCTTCTTCTTGAAAAGAAATTTAATTCCCGAAACTTGTGTGTCGGAGAATAAATTATATTCCGTTAATTAAGAGAATTTATTAGGAATAAATAAAGTGTTAAAGCGAACGTGTTTACTGTAATTGCTTCGAGTTTAGGGTTATTACTTGTTGGAGCTCGGACTTTGTCGCCTTTTTCCGCCAGTAGTTTTGCACCGATCGCCTAATGGTCTGTGATTTCAAGCCGTAAAGGAGGCCGTTGATGGGTGGAGAACAAGCAAGTAGAAGAGAGGCCAACGAAGCCAGCTTCGGGTGATCGTAGAGGTGCGGTTGATTGCCGACGCCGCAAACCTCCCAAAGGATCAGGCCGCAATAGGGGAAGTAAAGCAAGTAGAGAGAACCGACTAGTTGCATTACCTGAAAATTCAATTCTCTGCTAAGCACGCAGGAAAATCATCTGAAACACGGTAGAATTGTGAACCACCACACGACTAATAAATTGCCGAGTACAACGCCGACGTTGTTTAGGCATTAGAAAATTAATTAAATACTTCGATGAGTGTTCGTAATTGAAAAGAAGACAGTCGTTAATTAGGCACAGAATGAATAATCGCCTCTCAGCACGATGTCTATTGATTTGACTTGCTAACTGGCCGATGGAAATTTAGTTTCCGAGCGCAATTTTAAACCCGCTGTTCCAATTAGCTCGAACGGTATAAAACTGATAGATCGACTGGGTTGATTGACTTGTGGTAATTAAACATTTGATTTACACTGTTGATGAAAACACGAATCCTTACATATGTATAACCTGGATTCTCTTTTAAAACATATATTAGGTTAATTCTGTAATACTGTTTAATGTTATGTAAATATTCTATATCGCATGTCTAATGTGTATATACACATACATTTTTCATGTTACGAAAAGAAATGTACGTAAGAATATTTCATGCTGTTTACAATGAGGTAACCAAAAATTATTTATTCGTGTTTTCTGGAAATAGTCGGAAAAACTACAGACGGAGCAAAATATTTGCGATTCAATACGCGTTGTTTATCATTTCAAGCGTGATAAATAAACATTCCAATACGAATCGATATATGTAGTAGGCTCTTTACGATACCAATTAATGCAAAAATCTTCAACTCTAACGCCAACATAAGTATATGAATAATCGAAGGAAAATAAAAGATGTACATAAGATTATACTGAAATATGTCGGTTCTTGCGAAATTACAAACTATCCACCGTAATATCCGTCCGACGAACGGAATTATGTATGGCGAAGAGTGGCTTCGCGTAGAGAGTATCACGCAAGGGGTGAATTATGCGGAGCAAACAGAAATTACAGGAGCTGCGAATGTAGGTACAAACCGTGCTGGCCGCACTGTGAAAGCGGGGCGGGCTGATGGCGGATGGTGCCGTGACAGTTGGTACGAAAAACGGATTCCGCTGATGGGTGATGGTCACCTGGGCGCTCAAGGTGACTTCGTAAATTGCGCTAGCGATGCGGTGTCGGTGATAACGCGCTATGCCGAGCACACGCAAATTGCAAACGGTGACGAGGACCGCTGGTAGAGCCAACCCCAGAATCGCGTAAACCGCACCGTAAAGTCCCGCTGCTAGGCCCCACGAGTCGTTACTAAAATCCGGGGCGCAACAGCCAAGACTTGGACTGTATCTGCGACAAACGATTAGAGAGATAATAGATTCAATACTATCAAATCTAGGTCTCCTAAACAATGAACTGGCAGCAAACAATCGAGCTACTTTGGTTACTTAAAAAATCTAATCTTGAATAAACACGCCGCCGAAAGTTATTCGAAGTTTTATTCGAAGCCTTCAAATGAAAGATAAGGTTAAAGAAGATAAATCCCTGTTTTTTGGTAAATAGCACGATATCTGAGTTGTATCAAAGTGCGAGATGTAAATATATTATAAATAAAATTAGTTAAAAACGAATGAAACTTTAACGTGATTTTTCAAGAGAACGGTTGAGTAAGTTGAGTTTCGACCCATGGTTCCGTGTAGACTTTTTATTTTCACGATGAGTAGAATATTTTGCCATTATAAAACAATTTAACCTTCAAATCAAGGTCGAGGTCAATTTTGCGGCAACGTTCTTACTTCAGTCTCCACCAAATTAAAGGTATAGAATTTGACTATGATAGCCGCGACATGTAATTTCTTGGCACCCTGTATATATGTATAATAAAAGTGTAGGCTATTATATAAAACAGGCATAAGATAATGTTGAAATCCTGGTTACTTAATAAATAACAAAACTAACCTGTAAGGCGGGACTAAACCCCAAAAAGGTAGCACGCATAAAAATAGTGCCCCAGTCCAGGATGCTGCTAGGCCAACCGCAACTCGTCGAGGCGACACCAGCGCAGCGTAATGCAGCGGAGCCGCGATCGCGTAATACCTGCACAACAACCGCATTAACGTACCAATGAATCTAGCACGAGAAACTGTAATACGTAAATCTTTATATACCACGAATTGGAACAATTACTTTGAACGATTTATCTGGAATCGATAGATGTGCAGCATCCTCGCGTGAATAATGAAACCGAATGGGAAAAAATGTTACTAAACGCGGAAAAAGGTCACAGGGCTAGGCGATTACAAACGAGACGGCTTAAATCCACAGAATCGGATGAATAAAATATTCATCCTTCGATCGGACTGAAATCTGAACCCACGGTATTTCCAACCGGTAGAAGAGCAACGTGTCTCCCCGTATTTTCGTTCAACGAGCTTCCGCCCTCGTTCTGGGAATTTCAATATTCCCGAGTGTTTGTTATATTCCTGACGTTTTTATTGCGTGCCAGTGATCGCGGAATGGGGGCCATTTCTATTTCGTTTCTCCTCCGCCGTCGACACCAAACGCCGATAACGCGACCCGGACCGCATTCATTATCGGACAAACGTGAGATCTTCGAGGAACAGGTTTTTGCGTTTCCCGGGGAGTAATTCAATTGGATACCAGCGGCTCTTTCTTTAGGGTATGTAAAGGTAGATATTCATTTCAGAGCAAAATTCGCGCAAGAAACTTCATGAAAGTGATTATTAGAGAGTGTCGTTCAATTGTCAACGAGCGGGTGTGTTGTAACTTGCTTTTAAATGAATACATAGTAATGTTATTATCGGAGAGTTGCTTCCGAAATACGAACCAGTTTCATATTTTGAGAGTATTATCGTGAGAATGAAAAATAATTTAGAAATAGCAGCAGGAAAGGAATGGTCGAATGATGATACCGTCAACTTAATTAATGTGTACGAAGAGAAGTCTGTGTTATGGACATAAACACAACATTGATTATAGAAACTGAAATAAAAGAATAAAATAATACAATTAATTCTGGCATATTTTCACTGTAGATACATCGGAA